TATATATATATATATATATAGCTTCGGTCTCTCTTTGTCCGTACGTTAGCGTTACATCAGCGCTGAGATCTAGTGAATAACTATATATACGTGTGTGCGTGCGTGTATGTGTGTGTGTGTGTATATATATATATATGTGAATACGTATTACATATCGTTTTATCGAGTTATCTTTAAAAGATTGTTCAAAGGTGGGGAGGGGGAATGGTCGAGTTGTTTCAAAGAAATTAAAAGATTTAAGATAATAATTGGGGGATGGTTTTCGATTTTTCGTGTGTTTTTACCTGCGTGTTTGAGAATGTGCATCAGCCAGGCTACCATCCTATTATCTTTCTTCCCATAATTTTTGTCATATCTGACAGATGCTGTGAAAATAAATATCGAAAGATAAATATTCGTTTTCTCTCTCTTATATATATATATATATGTATATATAAATAATAATAAATGGAGATTGTTCGTGTCGAGGAGAGTTGTAATAATAATAATAATAATAATAATAATAATAATTCGAGTACTTAGAACGTGGATGATTGAGAACGAGGCGGACACGATCAACAGTCGAAAGGTTAATAAAGAAAATCGTGAGCCAAAGTTTTTTTTCTTTTCTCGTCGTCGAGGATAATATAATCCGATTGAAACGATTAAGAAGAAGGGAGGAGGAAAAAAAAAAAAAAGAAAAAAGAAAGATTACGCATTATGGAATGGAACTTGCCTACGGTGAAATTTCTTCTAAGGAGAGTTTTGAAGAAGCCCTGTAAGAAATCGACAGGACTGAGATGTCCTCGCAGCATGATTCTCCCTGAAGTCATCAGGATTTAACGCGAATGGCGATACTGGAGGAATTTTGTAAGTAATGCCAGATGTTTAATTCAACTTCCGGAACTCCTCCGGTTTTTCTGATATCTCCGCCTCGATTGATTTCCCTATCGTTTATTGATAGGTTCGCCTGATTGTCTGCTTTTCAGCGCCCGCTTCTCTGCTTTTCGCTAACTTCGATTAACGAACGCGAGCGTGAACGATGCTGCATCGATTTCATGCATAATTTCATTTCGACCATTCTCACACGGTTATTTCAATTTTTCTTTGAGACATGAAATATAAATCTTTAATATCAAATTTGTTGCGTCGAAAATATATCGATTCGTTTATAATCTTTATTATCTTTTGATTTTCGAGAAGAAGAAAAAAAATTTTTCCTTATTCAAAATATTCATTATATATTGCAATATTATATATGTTATATATATATACATATATATATTTATTATATCAGATCGATTAAATTTCTCGAGAAATTTCTTAAAGCGAATTTCAAGCAACGAGGTGGGGGAAAAGATAAGATAAGATAAGATAAGGTAAAATAATATTCAAATAATAAAATGTATAATAAAAATTTCTCCTTACGTTTATTCAGAATATTCATTATAATTATACATTGCAAATATATATATTTATTATATCAGATCGATTAAATTTTTTAAGTCAGAATTTCTTAAAGCGAATATAAAGTGAATTTCAAGCAGAAATGGGAAAAAGATAAGATAAGATAAGATAAGGTAAAATAATATTCAAATAATAAAATTTTATTAGATCGATTAAATTTCTTAAGGACAGGAATTTCTTAAAGCGAATATAAAGCGAATTTCAAGCAATAAAGTAGAAAGAGATAAGATAAGATAAGGTAAAATAATATTCAAATAATAAAATTCACAATAAAAATTTCTCCTTACCATACGTTTATTCAGAATACTCATTATAATTATACATTGCAAATATATATATATATTTATTTATTTAATTTTATCAGATCGATTAAATTTTTTGAGAAATTTCTTAAAGCGAATATAAAGCGAATTTCAAGCAACGAGTTGGGGGAAAGAGATAAGATAAGATAAGATAAGGTAAAATAATATTCAAATAATAAAATTCATAATAAAAATTTCTCCTTACCATACGTTTATTCAGAATACTCATTACAATTATAATTATAATTTCATTATAATACATTGCAAATATATGTATTATATATATATTTATTACATCAAATCGATTAAATTTCTTAAGGACAGGAATTTCTTAAAGCGAATATAAAGCGAATTTCAAGCAATGAAATGGAAAGAGATAAGATAAGATAAGATAATAATATACATTGCAAATATATGTATTATATATATATATATATATATTTATTACATCAGATCAATTAAATTTCTTAAGGACAGAAATTTCTTAAAGCGAATATAAAGCAATGAAGTGGAAAGAGATAAGATAAGATAAAATCAACTCGGCCAAGTTGGCGGAAGTTGGGAACGAGACACAATTATTCGAGGCGAAATCAAGCCTGGGGCCAAGCAAGGCTCCGTCGAAGGCTCCGTCGAAGACGTGGACAGGAGTCCGGTTAATCATTGCCAAAACTTTTCTCCCCATGAGACTCGAAGACCCTTCTCGCGCTCTTAATGCCATAATGGACACTTCTCTTTTCTCCTTTCGATTGCCTCCCTATTGATCCAGAAACCACTAAACTCGCATGCTCCGTCGTCGTCCGCTTCGTTGCTCTCAGATTCCCCCAACTTCCAACCCCCCCCCCCCGAGATGTAGTCTCCCCCTTGATCTCAATCTCAGAGTATCCCACTTTTGATCATCACATTCCCGAAAATTATTAATAACCTTTGCAATGTTAATTCGTAGATTTCTTCAGTCTTTTCGATTATTTTCCTTTTCCTTCCATTCGTATTCGTTTAATAATTAATTTGATCTTTGCATCGATCTATAACAATCATTATTAAAATGTACAAACAGAATATTCTGTTAAGTTAATTTCACATTTCAATGTTTTTAATTACACATAGGAGATTGTTTAAACTTTTCTTGATTACAAATTACAATCTGAACGTAAAATTTAATAGACAATTTCAATTAAGGAAAAGTCTTTGAAAAATCTCCAACATTCTATCATTTATATATATATATATATACCTTTCGTAACAAAACTTTCTTTCTCTTCATTTGCGAGCATTTTAAAATCCACAACAAAATTTATCTGTTAAAAAAAAAGAAATATATCCGTTTCTTCGTCCAACATTTCCAAACAAACACAACCAAAGCCACCGAAAAATTCTTTCTACTTTTTCCCCCCTCCTCTTTCTCCTAAATCTTTCATACCCCCCTAAAAAAAAAAAAAAGATTACAAGCGAAAACGAATCGTCGCTTCTCGTATCCCTTGACGAAAAAAAAAAAAAAAAAAAAAAAAAAAAAATAAATGTCTTACGTGTTATCAGACCTCCCAGCGGAGATATCGTACGGGTTGTTCGTGATGTCGCATGCGAATGGCCATGCCGATTCGGACCACGTACACCCGCTAACCGTTAATAAAAGCTTAAAGGACATTATCGTGGGCGTTGGTGGGGACATTAAAAAGCGCACGTGCCTCTAACGGCGGGGCCCTCGATGCAATTTTAAACAGCTATTTCCGGCCACCTAACCGCCCCCACCACACGGTGACACATGTCCTGTTGCCGCCCGAATGGGAATCCGGCTGAATACCGGGGAAAATGAAGCGAAACTCGGATCCCTTTGTTGCCGATCGATCGAAAAGGGCGAACCGGTTTCTGAAACGGTTTCTAATAATTCCACCATTGTTGGAACGGATTTGGATGCGTGATCAATCATCGAATTGGACGATATTTCGTGCTGCGATTTTCGTTTCTGAAGGTAACATTTTTATCATATCGGTGATCAATCAATCGAATTGATACGTTTCTGAAAGTAATTATAAATCGAACAATTTCTGATACGAGAAATCGAATCGGATAATATTTTTTATAGTAATTCGTTTAAAAATGTTTTTATCATAGATTGTGGAAAGTAAATATTTTTACCATTCTTGGAATGGATTTGGATGAGTGATCAATCATCGAATTGGACGATATTTCTGCGATTAGTTTGTTAAACTCATTTCTGAATTTGTTGAATGGATTTAAATATCGATCGACGAATTGGACGATATTTTGTCGATTCGATTTCCTCAAAGCGACATTTTTACCATTGTCGAGCAATTAATTTTTCCTTGACGATTAAATTATAATTATTAAATTTAAATTTAAGGATAAATTAAATAAAGATATTGATCTGTAAATCTGCAAATTGCTCTAATAGGAGCAATTTAATAATCCAAAAGATAAAATAATTGGTATTTGTTACTATATGAAATGAAAAAATTTTTTTCATTAAAATTATTAATTTATGATTCAGAAAAATAAAGAATCAATAAAATATTGAGAATACATATCTTCGAATGATCGATATAAAAATTTCTAAAATTAATAATATATTTTGAATAAGTATGAAATACTGTTCTAAAATAATATTAGAAAGGTTAGAGTGATAGTAAAAATTGGATTAATCGAGCGATTTCTTGAGGGTTCGCTGCCGCTTTGAGGTATCGCGGCCGATCGCGCTCGCGACGTGCCATCATTCGCGGGTAGGGAATGGCAGCGGTTATTTTTTTTTCACGGGCGAAACGCGGCGAGACAGATGGAAAGACGCACGGCCACCGAGGGTGGGACATTAGCCATAAATTCGTTGGTCCCCAGTGGCGAATAGGCGGAGGAGCCACCGTGCCAATTGTATAAATTGGCTATGACAAACTTATCGTCCCGCCATGAGCCACGCGTGCGCCCTCTAGCGTACGCCTACGCAACTCCACCGATTCTCTCCGCCTCCCCTAGGGGCGCTCGATACTTCTCTTAACCTTGCCCGATCTCGTAACAGATCGTGAATAATATAACATTTCTAGCGGGAAAATTTGTTTGCTCGAGAGTTAAGGGAATCGGAGAATCGTAACGGCGATGTCTCATATTTTCTCGCCGCAATTAGGCAAGGCAAAACGATTGAAAGGAAATTGGATCGAACTGTTACAATTACAATTCTTCAAGCTCGAACAAATTTCCACTACGAATATTATATCATTCACGATCTATTACGAGATCTATTACAAGATAAAGTTAAGTAACGCTCGAATAGTTTAATTTCAGATTGATCTTCGAAAAATGATATCTGGAAATAGTAATTTTGCCTGATCTTGTAATAGATTGTGAATAACGTAATATAGTGAATCTAATATAGAAATATCTAATCTAATATATCTATCTAGTATATAATATCTAGTATATAATATATATAATAGTATATAATATCTAGTATATAATCTAGTATATCTAATCCAATATAGAAGTTTGTTTGCACGAGTTTGAGCTTGAAGAATTGTAATTGTAATTGTATTTTATATGATCCAATTTCTTAGGATTAAAAGGAAGGAA